GGACACCACAATATGGTCCTTTGTGAACTGGCCTTGGGAAATGATTGGCCACTTACGACATACAGAGGGTGAACACACGTTCGCGACCTTAACCTGCCCTTGACACGCTCTGGTGCGTACGTGCTTAGTGGACACGAGAGACAGACATGCGGCCTTCCCCAAAGGCGTAGGAAGAAAGCCTGTCTTAGAATACGAGGTCACCACAGTCTCATGACGCGGCGCCTGATGGTTGCTTCCGGCTTATGTGCACCACCAACTCCAAGTGGAATGAAAGGGCGGCTGACTATTTCCGATACACTTTTCACGCACGGAAGAACTCGCCCAATTCTTGGGCCGGTTGCATTTAGTGTCTTATCTCGTCTGCGAATGCATACAAACTATAAATACTGCGTAATCTGTGCATGTATCCCCCTAATTTGAAATAATGTCTGATGAAGAGTTCAAGACATAATGCGAAACGTCTGCATAATAAACTTCTTCCGCCAGCGATCGCATTTTCAACTTCTGAGTTGCCCCCAGAAACTTGCCTGTCCACTTCTATTAACTATGCATTGCTGTGTGACATTTTTCATTTGGTTCTAGCTGTCTACGGCTTACGTTTTTGTGCCAATTTATTCCTTAGAATGCAGATAAGGGGATTATCGACAGGGGGAGGCAGGGGAAGCCGGAATGGTCATCTCGTGACCCGTTCTGCCTCTGGTTTGCTGTGCATTTCTTTCAGAAGGGGAGCGTGTGCAATACCCATGACCTGCTCTCGAACGCACTTGAGAGGGATTGGCACCATCGATGAGAATTGCTCGTATAGATGTATAATGAATCACGTAAAGAGCGCTGGATAGGCCAGCCTGAACTTGGGTTTGAACAAGAGCCTTTGTGAGCTCCGGTCTGCCTTGTTTTGAGCGCATTCTGCGGACCATTAGCCATCCCATTCTCTTCTCCTGCTTTGATGGATAACACCACTGTCTTCGCTGCTGCTTTCACTCACAGGTAGGAGAATTTACAGGAGATAAGAGCGTCATACTGATGATGATGTGTAAGGCAGGACAGGGGAGCTTGACACGCATATAGTCAATATACTTGTGTTAATACCGATTAGGAGGTTGTAGAGGCCTCCAGATCCCTCAGGTGCCGGAGCTTGGCGTAAATGCAATCATGATACGCAACTGCTGATTGCCGGGTCTGTGGACAAGGTGACGAAAAAAATTGAACCCGCTACGATCGTCAACTACCCACTGGTGGTCGATATAACTGAGATGCACGAATAGGGATGGATGACAGAAAATAATTTCATATATAAATGTTACTCAAACATAAAAAGTAACACTATAATAATACGATATTTTTCGTCCACGGTAAGAATACAGGCTTCGGCTGGTGTTAGAGTGGGCATTACTATAGGAATCTTGCTTCCTCTTAAAGACTTCGACGGAAGCGGACATAACAATATCCAGAAGCAGGGCATTTCAAGCTCCGATCGTGAAATGGGTATGCACTTCCGTTGTGTTTCTCGTTACTCTCCTATGCCAGCAGGCGCTGTAAGGTACAAGAACCTTTGTTGGATGGACGCCCACCGATCGGTTACTTGTCCTGTTCGACCTGTATGGCCAATTCTCGAGCCCCGTCAGCAGGCTCATAGCGGCTAGCAATATAGACGGACATTATGGTAAGAGTGTTGGACTTCTAATTAACAATTTTCGCGTGGTGCACCACTTGGGGTTGGGTATGGCTGGCTGATGAGGTCTAATAATCCAGAAACTGTAACTCCAATCACCCTTGTTTTTGTGGTGAATGATAAGCTGCTTGGCCGGCGCGCCTTGTCAGTGTCTCTTTGACTAGTTCCTTTAGTCTCCTCGCCGTAGGTGCATATTCAACCGCAAATTTAACCATGCATTGTTGTGCAACTTTCTCCTTTTGGGTCTAGCGGCAACAGTAAAGTTGGCCGGCAACCTTAGATACCCCTAACTCGCGAATATGCATGTTGAAACCCGAAAAGGTAAGCGTGGTGTG